ATGCTGGGGAGATGGGGGGGGGCGGGCAGCGGAGCGCTCCTACCTCCTTGTGTTCAGTAGCAATAATCAGCTTTTTTACTAAATCAGTGATAACCAGCATATTTACTAAGTCAGCCAGCGTATTTACTACATCACCCAGCCTCTTTGGGAACAGCAGCCCCCGGGCGGCTTAATGGGTGGATACGGGTGCAGCATCGGATAGTAAGAGGGTGCAGCATCCCACAGTCCCTCGCTGCCGGTACGCAGGAGCTCCCTTTGCCCCTCCTGCTGCAAACACGGGGTTGGAGGCTGGTGGCAGCGTGTCCTCGAGGATGCCGCGGTCCAGACGGTGCTGTGCCGTGGGTCCCCCGTGGGATGCGTGAGGCAGCGGCCCCGTGGGCCTTCCCGCAGGTGGAGGAGCAGCTGTACCAGCTGCAGCACGAGAGAGCCGACCTCCTGAAACGCATCGACGAGGACCAGGAAGACCTGAACGAGCTCATGGCAAAGCACAAGGCTCTCATCGCCCAGGTAGGAGCCGGGGCAGTGGGGGCTGGGCAGCATCCCCCTCCCCAGGAGGGTCCTTGGGACACCCTGGGGGCACACGGCAGTCCCCGTCGGTGCGCAGCAGGGTGGGGACCCCAGGACACGGATGCTGTGGCGAGAGGAAGGGATGGCTCACGGCTCCGGCTCCTCTCACCCATAGTTTTGAGTCTTTTTTCAAGAGGTGCCTTGGCTTTAGTTTCAATAGTTGGGAAATCCTATAGCATCCCCGGCTGGATCCTTTTCTAGTCTGCCTTTCACTGTTTTGTCATGTGGAGCTTAAAAAGTGCTGACAGACAGCCCTGGGGCTTTCTGCGCAGTATCCAGACTCAGGCAGGCTCTCCCAGAGGATTGTACCAGGAGCTGCGGGGCCCCGAGGCTCCCAGCGGAGCAGGGCTGGGCTGGCGAGACTGACACGTCTCAGCCTGGTGCCCCTTGCAGTGGTGTGACAGACCCGGCCGGCTGTGCCCGGGAGGACCCTGAGGACAGAAATGACCTTGACAACATGGTTTCTGACCTGATCTGCAAATATTTGTTTTGAAAATTGGGGAAGTTGCATGCAGTGAGGTGAACTAAGCTCCTTCAGCCCAGTGCCGGAGCGGCTCGCTGGTTCGGTGGTAGGAGGCGCGGGCACGAGCCAGGCCTTGGCACCGCGCTGCCCGCGGCGTGCGCCCTCTGCTCCGAGCCCTCGGCTCTGCTCCCGCTGCTGCACTTTTCCCTTCCCGCAGTCGGCGACGGACATCGCTCAGATCCGGGACCTGCAGACGCAGGTGGAGGATGTGAAGAAAGAAAAGCAGAGCCTTCAGGAGAAGGTAATTCCTCCCCAGCCCATGGCACCCAGAGCTGAGGAGCGAGAGCATTCCAGGTGTCCTCTGCCGTCTGTGCCTGCTGCGTCGCTGGTGCTGGTCGTGGATGCCATGTTCTTGTCTAAAATCAGGCCAAGTCCCTATACCGGTGGTACAAAACCGTTCCTCCTGTGTAGTGTGTTGAGGTTCCTCTCCTCTTCCTAATGCGCTGTGTACGCCCCCGAGAGCAGCACGGTGCAGGAGCCGCTCTTCGCCTGCTGCATTCCCGCAGCGCTGAGCCTGCGGGCAGGACGGGGCCAGGGCGGGCTGCGGGCTCTGCCTTGGGCTGGAGAACGCTTTCCCTGGGAAGGCTCTCGGGATGGAGAGCCCCGCTTCTCCCCGCTCCCCTCCCCGAGCTGCCGGTGCCGCGGCTGAGATGGGGCTGAGCCCGGGACAGGGCTGACGCGGGGGCAGGAGCCGGTGGGGGCTGCGCTGCCTCGCCTCGCCGGCTGCACCCACCCTCCTGGAGCCCACGGATTTAATGTTAAACACATGAGTAATCCCATTAATTTAAGTGCTTTATTGGAGCGCAGCTAAGCTGCCCAGGAATCAGAGGCAGGACTCGCTCCCTGCGAGGCGGAGCAGGTGGTGCTTTAGAGATAGGCCAGATAAAAGAAGGAGAATTCCCGTAGTTCTAGGTCAAATGCAAAATCTGACCCAAACTTGTCCCGGGATCAGTGAAAGGGCAGTTTGCTTTGGAGATCTCGGCGTAACGGCTGAATCAAAACTGGGTCCGGGCAGCTTTCCACACAGGGGTAAATTGTGAATTTTTACGCCTGCTGCCCTCAAAGAGTTTGTGAGGAGGAGGAGAAGAGCAAAAGGGACCCAGACACGTGTTGTCTTGCCAGCACGCTTTTCATTCGAAAAATACATGTTCGCGTCATGCGTTTACTGCGGGCTATTAACGGCAGGGAATGCTTCAGCAAGCCGAAGGCGATGCTCTTCCATAGTGCCCCATCACCTCAGGGGCCGTGAGAGGCGCTCGGTGCACATCACACCAAGGCGAGGGAGTGGTGGGGGGTCTGGGAAAGGGACCGGGAGGTGTTTGCGTGGGTCAGGGGCCAGGGAGGCGCTAACGCAGCCCGTCCTCCCCCAGCTGCAGGCAGCGCAGGCACGAGCGGCGCGCCTGGAGCAGTGCCCGGCCGAGCGCTCCATCGTCAGCCGGCAGGAAGCCCGTATCCGCGACCTGGAGAGCCAGCTGGACTTCCAGGCCGTGCAGATGAAGCGCTTTGAGGTACCACCTCTTCCCTGCTGGCGGAGGGGATGTGGGGCCCCGGGGAGATGCAGCCTGCTTGCAGAAGGCGGGCGCAGCGATGCCACCGCCTCGGCTTTGGGGGAAGGAGCAGCCGGGAAGGGGTGGGGAGGGACAAGTGGGGTCTTGGGCCAGATCTGCTGTGCTGGTGGGCAGTCCATAGCGTTCACCCGCTGCCGTTATCTGTACCTGCTTCGCTGTGGTGTTTGTTGAAAGGCAGCAGTGCGCCCGGTGCTAGAAGCACCTGGAGGAACACACAGTCCCTGCCTCTGGACAGAGCGTGGTGTGCGCTGACTGCTCAGCACATCCACCACAGCGCCTCTGCGATGGGCATCCCTCTGCTCTGGCATCGTCCAGAAGTCAGGACATCGGGCTCGATCACAGTATTTCGCTGTCCCCATTAATCAGCACGTCTGCTGGCGGCACTGGGATGTGTTTTTGCTGTCACTTCTTCCCGGAGTTGTGCTGCCCAAACGAGCCCAGCCCAGAGGTGAAAGAAGATGCTCTTGTGCCCCCAGAGCAGCCGCCGGCTCCGTGGGAGCCCTGGGGGACACGGTGTGGCCGTGGGGGATGGCAGTGCCTGCTGCGGTGGGAGCAGAGCTGGGGGCAGGGGTGGGCTGGGGGCTCTGGGGTCTGCACCCGCCGCAGGCATGGCTGGGTTCAGGGCGATGCTTGATAACGATAATAGTAGTGACTGTCCCTGTGTTGGGGAGGGAGTGCTCTCCACAGCGCCTGATGCTCATGGAGAGCTTCGTAACTCCTCACCTCCATCTCCCTTGCTTCACCTCGCACCCTCCTCCCCAGGTGCTGGTGCTGCGCCTGCGAGACAGCATCATAAAGATGGGCGAGGAGCTGGAGAAGGCGGCCGAGTCGGAGGCGCGGGAGAAGGAGAGCACCAGGTACTACCAGAGGAGGATGGAGGAGATGAAGGCTGACATGGATGAGCTGGTGCAGAGGGAGCTGGAGTCCAGCCGCCGGCGTGTGGAGCTGGTAAGGGGATGCTGTCCCCGCGGCCACGGGGACATGGGGCAGGGGGTTTGCTCTCCGTAACCTGCCTGAGGGTCCTGGAAAAGTAATATTTTTGAATTGCTTCACATCCCTCCACAGCCCCAAACCATTGAACCGAAGCTGGTGTTGAGGCACCTCACGTTTCGTTTCCCCATAGCCGGGCTGGCAGCCCGGGCAGTCCCTCTGCTCCACGGGTCGTTCCAAGAAGGAGAGGGCTTTGCCTGCTCAGCTCTAAGAAATGCTGAGAAGATGCTCCGGTCATTCCAGCAGCTGCTTGTGCTGGTTTTCCTGGTGTCGGGCAGAACCTCAGCAGGACCAAGCGCTCCCCTGGCACCGGGGAAATGCCCCGTCCTCCTGCCAGCCCCCCACGTGCCGAAAGCCGGCAGCGTGGCTCGGCGTGCTGGGGCTCAGCCCGTGCGCCAGCTCCTCGCAGCGCTCCCGGCTTTGCCAAATAACCCCCCCGTGGCACAGCAGCATATCAGGCGGCGCCGACAAGCAGCTAACCTGCTCTGCGCGCGCAAAGCCCCGATCGCATTTGCAGTATGGCAAAAATAGATTCACCTTCATTTTACGGTCCTCTACGAGCATCCCTTTTCATGTTGTTTTTTTCCCAGTAAACGGAAGGAAAGCCTTGCTTGCAAGCAGTAAGTGAAAGATATTGCATTTCTGCTGGCAGCACAGCCACATTAGAAGCGGTTATTTTATCAATAATCTTTTATTTAACAATCAAGGAGATTTCGGCATGTATTCCACCCCGAGGCTGCCAGCCTTTCTGCAGGCAGCGGTGCTGTAGTGGGAGTTATCCCGCGTGCCCTGCCAGCCTGAATCCTATATGCTCGCGCGCGGCTCTGCCTGCCGGGACACCCTTCCCCGGCCACGGAAGGAGTCTCCCCTCTGGGTGGGAGTCGTGCAGCCGCCTGTGCTCTTCGGAGTCATGAGATTTTGCAACCAGAGGCTTTGCTGGGTGCGCCCGGTGCGCCCGCCAGCCCCGGGCACGTCGGGGGGCTGCAGGGGTGCCCGCCGGGCTTGTAGTAGCCCACCCCGGGGCCAGATGCCGCTGCTTTCCCTGCGGGCGCCAAGCGAGACACGGCTTCAGTTGCTATGATAACCGGGTGTTTATCGCAGCTTTGTTAGAAACGCGCTGTTTTGGAACACAGATGCGCTGTCTGGTAGGATACGGGTGGGTTCTTTTAACTGTATTTTTGTATTTGTGCATATATTTTTAGAAGCTTTTTGACTGTTTCAGATGGGGATGTGAATGACGGGTGTAGCGAGATACTTGGTCTTCTTAGCACGCTTCTCTTCTCGCAAATGAAGTTTGCAAAGAAGTCTGAAAGGCATTTTAGAAGCGCATCCCTGCAATAAGACACAAAACCAGACAAACCCGTAAGCCAATAGAGAGGGGTCTGGGTTTATCTGGACCCCCAGACATTTGGGGTTATCTGGGGTGTGGTGCAGCGGTGGCAGGAGGATGGAGCCGGGCAGGCCCTGCTGTGAGTGGGCTCCCCCAGAGACACGGCACTGGCACCGGGTTTCTCCTCGCCGGCACGCGGCGGCCGGTCGGGGCGATTGCTCCGTGGGAACCGGGGCTCCCTGAGCCCGCCGTGGCACGGCCGTGGGGGGAGCCAGGGGCTGCTGCGGCGTTCCCCGGGAGCAGAGGCGTTCCCCCAGACTGTGTGTACTTCTAACAGCGCTTAAATAAAACATCACGGGAGAGCCGCCATCGCAGAGCCCCGCCGTGCTTGTCGAGCGGCTGGCAGACGGCATCAATAGTTAATAGAAAGCCACTTACGGCTCTGCTCCTGTTAAATCCCCCATCAATTATAAATACTGCGTGAATTATTCACTTAACATTGCTCAAGTCATGGTCTGCACCTAACAATTTTTTTTTTTTAATTTATTCAAATAAACAGTTGCGAGGTTGTGGACTTGCCGCGCACTGTCAGGGTTTCAGTGATGGAGGGACAAATCCGTTGCACAGATTGGGTTAGAAATCCCGCCTTGTTTCCTGGGGTGCTGAGAGCTGGTGCCTGTACATAAGGTATTTTTTTCTCGCAGCTCGTATTTGTCACTGGTGGAGGCACTTGAAAATCTCGTCCCATCGTCCCCGCGCCGTCGGCCAGGCTCGGGACAGCTGTCTTCATCCCTCCCTCGTGTTGGACCCCGCTTTGGGCAGCGGGGAGGGGGACGCGCGCCACGCGCGGGCAGCGGGGGCAATCCAGCGAGCAGCAGGGACGGGAGCTGGCGAGCTGGCTGCCAGGCAGATGGCTCTGCCTTATGAATTTTGTAAGAAGAAGGGGTTTTGAACACTTTCCAAGCCCGGTGCCATCGCAGCGAGGGAGGCATGTTTTCTAATGGCGGGGGTAGTGCTTGGCCCCGGTTGTCTTTGTCTTTGCTCTGGTTGCGGGTACTGGATTGCCTCCGTGGAGCTGTAGTTACTCTTCCAGTAAAATCTGGATCCCAGCCTGCAACGGCTCCGCATTTCTCAGCTGCTGTGCTGACACCCAGCGCTTGACAGGCGAGACCCAGCCGCCCGGTCTCCTCGCGCCGCAGCAGAAACTGAGTCATAGCGAGAAGCGAGAGATGGATTTCCAACTTAGAGTCGATCCTGGGGAGCTTAAACACAAGCCCTGGTCTCTTCGCTCATCGGGTACGCACACATGCTCGTGCTTGTCCTGATACGAGTCCCCTGGTGCGGCGCGGGGAGGGATGGAGCCGGGGCTGGGAGACGGGGTGGGGCAGGGCTGTGGCGGGGGATGAGCTGCCGGCGCTGCGGCTGGGACCGGCCATCGGCTGGGTTGTCCCTCCTGAGGCTGCCGCCAGGGCAGGATGGGGCTGGGCACGGCTCCCGGCTTTGGCTCTCTGGGGCTGTGGGTCGATGGTCCACCGTGAGCATCAGGGAGACAAGGGCGTGTGTGCAAGAGGCCTCATCTCAGCTGCTTTGGGTGTCCACAGCCATCACTGGAAGCCCTGGGCAGGGGCAGGGACGCTGCGCGAGGACCCTGTCCCATGCCTTGCCCTTACGGGGTGGTCTTCACCGAGCTTCTGGCAGAGCATCTCCCCCGTGACCTGTGGATTTGCTGCAGCAGAAGGGGGAGATGCGCTACTAAGGAGCCGGGATGGACTGATTCACCTTTGAGACAGTAATTCTTCCAGTATGTGCCAAGTGATAACTAAAACACTTAAAGAAGTGCATGTTTCTGTAAGGGGGCACCTACGGCGGTGCTGCCCGTGACTGAGCAGCTTGGATTTGATGGGAGAACTCAAGCGGCTGCGGGAAGCTGGGATGGGAGCTCCGGGATGGAGCCCCGCGGTCCCTCCTGCCCTGGAGAGGGGTACTTCCCGCCCGCGGGGGCTGCGCCAGGGCACCTTGCTGGGATGCTCCAGGGAAAAGCAGGGCCCGATCCCGCCGGGATGAAGCCGCAGCCGGCAGAGGTGCTCTCTGGGCACCCAGACGGACTCGCTGCGTCTCCTCCGGCCGCCCTGTGCCAACAGGCAGCTCGGTGCCCCCCCCAAGCCCCCGCCGCTGGGGCACGCCGTGGGGGGCTTGTGGGCACTGCCTTAAAATCAGATTCCTTTAAAGAAGCTGTGAAATCCATCATCATAATAATTAACTATTTTTACTGGAAACTGAAGAACAGGTGTGAAGATATTCTTCACACTTTTTTTTTTTTTAAAGATGAGAGGCACAGTGTAAATAACTTTTTTTTTTCTGGTTCTTCTGGTGGCAAATCTGCTTTGTAATGCAGCCCCTGTTATCGCCACGCAATCCAGCGTGCTGTAGCACATTACAGCCTGATCTCTGTGATTTTATTTCCCCCCCCCCCCTTTTGCAAGCTTTAAAGATAATTTTTTTTTTTTTTTTCATGCTTTCAATGGACTCGAGAAGTGAAGCGGGAGCTGTTTGTGCCTCCAGCCGGGAATGCCGCGCTCCCGCCCAGGCAAACCTCCAGCTCCCAGTGGGGTCTCAGCCAAACCCTCCGCTGCCTCCGCAGCCCCCGGCCCCCGCACCGCCTGCGCCTGGGCCTGGCGGAGCTGCTCTTTGCTCTAAAAGCGAATGACTTTGGCTGAGCGTAAGGACAATTACCATCAAAGGGAGTCAGTCCTTAGAGGTGAGGTTGGGTGATGGAGGAGCTGCCAGTGGAAACTCGACCGTGTATATACGTGCTAATTAGGCGTGTTGTACAGCAGGCAGTGTCATTTCGGGTTTGCCATTAAAGGAGTAAATTCTTCAGGAAATCATCCGCACTTGTGGCCGCTCACACCAATTACTGGTAACGCTGGTGTCTGTGAGCGCGGGAAGCGCCGCTCGCCCCGTCTCGCTTGAGGCTTCAACCGCGGAAATTTTGTCACTTCAAACTTTCTGAAAACCTGCGAGTTAATTACTTAATTAAAAATAATAATGATTGATGAATACTGCAGGTGTACGCTAAATTATTCAAATAGAAGCGATCCAAATTGGACTAATTAGATTACACTTCACTTCAGGTGGATGGGAGCTTGCAAAGGTTATGTTGTGACAGCAGAACCGCAAACAGAAATAAAAGGCGGCGAGGAGGACGCGGCGCGGGATGCTCTGCGGTGCCTGCCTCAGCATCCTTTGTGGTCCCATAAATTATTTCACTACTGTTTTTGCTTAGCTCTTTTTAACTTATCTTCAAATGCTTCCCAGACAAAATTAGATTAAAAAGAAACTCTTCAAAAAAAAAAAAAAAAAAAAGGGGGTTTAGAATTCATTTTCCGGAGAAGCGA